TTAAAACGGGTCAATCCGGTTTTAACCGGTTCGACATAAACGGTTCGACCGCGGTTGAGGGGAAACCCGGCCGGTTCGATCCGGTTCGTATTTTTGCAAAAAATCGTTCTCAATTGACCCGCTGTGACGCCGTCTACCCATTGTCATGGTCCAAACGGTTGAACCAGCCGGGTCGACCCGGGTTTTAAAACATTGGTGTAATTTCCATGGGAAGCATAAGAGTCATATTCTTTACAAAAAATGGGTTTTTTATTAATTATAGAGATAATACTTTTAACATTTCACAGTTGTCCTATCAAACCCTTTCGGTAACTCCACTTCAAACGCAAGAACGCAGTGAGAGTGGCGAGAAATGAATGTCTCTTAAAAGGCTACCTCATTAGGAATCAAAAAGACCTACCTTATAGCAATAAAGTGGATGCGCCCAGTCGTGGTAAGACTAACAATGTACATTAGGATAAAACATGCGAGGACACAATGTTTATTTTTGGTGTTATACATATACATACTCTTTTAGTGTAAAGGCTAGTTTGTATGTAACTTTATCAAAAAACTTTTTTTAGTGTAAAGGCTAGTTTGTATCAAAAAACTTTTTTTTTACTTGAAGTCAACAATTAAATTGAAAAGTTCTAATTTTTTGTCATTTAATTAATCTTATAATTAAATCAAACATAACTTTATCTTTACATATAAAGGCTAGTTTGTATGTGATTAAAATTGAAAAAGATGAGCAACCATAAATAAAAACGAATTTAGAAGAATCTAGAACTTCAGGTTTCACAGCGAGCGGAAAGAATTGTCACATCGTGACACTTAGAAAACACACAATTTAAATAAATTATTATTTAGGTTCTTAGTTGCAAGCCACAATCTAAACATTAGTTAATCAGGAAATGGCGAAGAAGTCAGTCATGAACCATGTAGATACCTGGACATGGTGGAGGACCAACCACGTCATGGCGAAGAGGCAGATCAACTTAAGCGTCGATTTTAATCCACAAACAAATTCAATTGCAATCAAAGAAAATTTCAAGTCTTTTAAACGTTTTAAAACAGAAACCTTATACATAAAAACCTTAACATACTAAAAAAAGTATAAGTGCAATAGGGCAGCAAAAAACATAGGGCAGTGGAGGACTAACCAGATCATGGCGAAGAGGCAGATGGGTTTTTAAGAAACATTCATTTTGAGCCACATTAGATCAAACCTAGGGTAGTGAAAACGATAAACATATCTGATCTAAACTCGAAATCTGAAGGATCTAAACTATCTAGTCTATGCAACTTACTAGAACTCTAAAGAAAAACATACATTTGATTTCTTTGTTGGTTGCTTCTTCTGTCGAGCTAGTAGATTGAACTAGAGAACCAAAAGGAGAATTACTTTTCTATGATCATACCCAAGACGCAAACAAGAGACAGATCCAAGTAATCCTCAAACTTCAAGCTCAAGCAGAATCGAATAGTAATTATCAATGGTATTCATTGTGGAATATTCCATATTTTATTTATTTACTATTAATTAATTTACAAAAAAAGTCCCTCAAATAAATATCTTTTCAGATCTGCTTCTTTCTGTTCTTGGTGTAACCTAAAAAGACACCGCTATTCATAGTAATATTACCAAACTTTGTTATGGCTATGGGCACTAATATCCATCAAGAGGTTGTTCGTTTAGAATCCTATCGTCTTCGAAAACCCTTCATACCCACCACCCTTCGCTTTTCATATGTCTGTCGTCAGGATTTCAGGTGATAACTCTGGTGGTCGTCTGACGAAAAGAAGATAGAGAAGACACAAATATGAAAAGCTAGGGTTTCAAAATCTAAAAGGGAGGCGACGTTAGGTTTTTTGCAAATGTTGGCAAATCGCCAGAGAAAAAGAGAGACAAGCGGTGTGTCACCAAACCTCCGTTAAAGTTATGGTTTACAAGACGGGCATCGTCAACCCTCCATGGTTACGATTTCCTCAAGATCCGTCTAAAACCCTTAATGGCGGTGCCACCAAACCTTCATCGTTCCAACGATTGATACGATCTTCGAACAAAATGGTGGTGACGTCGGTGGTTGTTCATGGTGAGAGAATACAAACAGAGAAAGAGGATAATCTGGTGGTCGTTCGACGAGCTAGAAAAGACGGAAAAAGGGTGATAGCATATATGAAACTTAACTCCATTCGAAGAGCATTGTTGTGGTACCGACAACAGGTCTTTAGCACTAGTCTGACGATAAGGGTGGCGCTAATGGTCTGTCGATTTTTCAATGGACATTGGAGATGGAGAGATATGGATTCTGTAAAAGAGGGATGAGGGTGGGTAGGTAATTAGGGTTAGGTTTATATTTTGTTTTTTTTGTTTTATTTTAATAAGATAAAGTAAATAACAAATAGAAAAATAACAAATAGAAAGGGCAAAACAGTCATTTTAAGTGCTGTCAATCTTGAAATGGACCAAACTCGCAATAAAATTCTTATTTTGGACCAATAGTGTAACTCCAAAACATTTTGGGCGCAAGTCCCAATTTTTGACAAACCACAAAGATCAAATTTGCAATTTTGTCATATATATATATATATATATATATATATATATATATATATATATATATATCTATATATATATATATATATATATATATATATATATATATATATAGGGTGAGTTCAACAGAGAACCATAATTAAGCAAGGAACCAATCTTTTTTTTTTCAACTTTTAGAACTTATTTTTTATTAAAAAAAACTAGAAATATAGAAATTCATAACTTTTTATCCTTTTTTCAATGATATCAAATTCGATAATTTTTTTTCGTCAAATTCACAATGTGAATCTTTGAAAAATCACAATGTGGATCTAAATTCACACGGTGAATCCGAAAAATATATTTAACATTCACAATGTTAAGTTATGAATTTAGATATTTTTAGTTTTTTTTTTCCGATAAAAAATAAACTCTAGAACTTGAAAAAAAATTGGTTCATTGGAGAACAATAATTATGGTTCTCTATTGAACTTTTCCCTATATATATATATATATATATATATATATATATATATAGATTCAAATGTTTGTCACATCTATTGTGTGCTAAAATGCACCAATAAAAATTTACTAATAATTATATGTATATTAAATGTTATCCATACTTATAACTCATTTTTATGGAAACTAATTAAATTCGTCATTAATGTCAACAATAATATTCTTTCAGAATGAATTCGTATGTAGAAGAATGAGAGTGTATTTTAGCAGAATGAGAGAATGAGAGTGTATTATAATAGAATACACTCTCATTCTTCATATTCCATTCAACTTTATTGTATTTTAAATGAGTGAATTCTGAAAGAAAAAACGAACTCATACATAAAAACTTAGATACGAATTCATTCTGAAAAAATGTTATTGCTGACATTAATGATGAATTTAATTAATTTCTATAAAAAGAGAATTATAATTATGGATATCATTTAATATACATACAATTATAGAAATCGTTTAATATCTATATTTATTTAATTAAATAATTATTTAATTTACTAAATTATTATTGGTGTATTCTAGCACATAATAAATGTAAGAAACACAATAACTTATATATATATATATATATATATATATATATATATATATATATATATATATATATATATATATATATATATATGGAAAAGTTCAATAGAGAACCATAATTATTGGATCTTCAAGGAACCAAATCTTTTTTTCAATTTCTAGAGCTTATTTTTTATCGAAAAAAAAATCTAAAAATATATAAATTCATATATTAACATTGTGAATGTGAAAAATATTTTTTGGATTCACCGTGTGAATCCGGATTCACATTGTGAATTTTCAAAGATTCACATTGTGAATTTGACGTAAAAAAAAATCGAATTTGATATCATTGGAAAAAAAGATAAAAAGTTATGAATTTCTGTATTTTTAGTTTTTTTTTTTTGATAAAAAATAAGTTTTAAAAGTTGAAAAAAAGATTGGTTCCTTGGTTAATTATGATTCTCTATTGAATATATAGATATATATATATATATATATATATATATATATATATAGATATATATATATATATATATATATATATATATATATATATATATATATATATATATATATATATATATATCCCTTAGACATAGTTTCTGCAAACTACAAAGCCAAACAAACAAAGTAGTGTAGATCATACACACGCAACTTACAAGGAAGGTAGCTCCATTGCTTATAGGTATTTTTTTTAATCTGGATTCTTAAATCACATATACTCTACTATGCTCTAAAATTCTTTTTAACTGATTCGTTACAGAGGAAATTAAGCTAAATTTTTTAATGGCAACTAGTGATGTGGAGCTTGCAACAGAACATAGCATTGGGCATTCTGTACTCCAGCTTCTAAATGATGATAAAGAAAAGGGACGGGATCTTCGCAATCGTGGTCTACCATTAATTTTCATGGTTCCTAGCTGTTGGAAAAATAAGAGCTGTGAACGTAGGAACTGTTGGCAATAACCGTTGGTAGACTTCTTGTTTCAGTGTGTTTCGAGATCTCAGCCCAAGATCTTTTAATCCTAGGATGGTCTCCATTAGACCTCTACACAAACAAGATAAACATTTGCAAGAATTTGAAGTTCAAAAAACGACATATGTACATCGTTTTTTGTACAGTTTAGGTACAAGCCCTGACCAAATGTTAGAAGAATGTGTGCTCAAGGTGAGTCGTAAAATAAACTTCATCAAGGCATGTTATGCAGATTCAATGATCTACAACGATGAAGAACTTGTTAGAATGATGGTAATAGATGCTTGTTTCATACTTTATTTCATTCATAATATTATAGAACGTTTTGGACCATTTCCCTTAAACATGTTGCTTACCCCATCTATAAATTTGGACCTACTGCTTATAGAAAACCAAATACCGTTTTTTGTTCTTAGAGACATCTTTGAGTCTACAATTCTGAAATATAATCCGGCGACCTCTCTCAATCTATATATGCATAGACTTCTCATATCGTACAATATTTTTGGAGATAATTCTGTAAGTCGTAATGTTAGCCTAGACACTAACCATGATCATCTTCTTGGCCTTTTTCACAAATATTTCCATCCTGTGAATAATATCCAAACCGGGGTTCCTACAATCCCAAAAAGGCACTCGGCCATGGAACTGGATAGGGCAGGGGTGAACTTTATGCCTAATCAAGATGATAATTGGGCAATGGCCATGAAACTCGAATTATTACCAAGGTTTTCATGCTTCCCATGGTTTTGGAATAAGCCTACTCTGAAGATGCCACGACTGCTTGTTGATGATCGCACTGAACTGTTTTTAAGGAACCTTATTATATACGAGCAGTCTTCTCTAGTTCCTAAGTTTGTTACAACATATGCATGGGCTATGGGTATGCTTATAGAAACTCCACAGGATGTTGCCAAGTTGGTAAAATCAGGGGTCCTAGTTACAGTAAGCTCGGACCAGAACGCACGAAATTTAATATACAACATATGCAAAGAAGTTGTGTATGAGAATTTCTTTTACCATCAAGAGTGGGACGAATTGGATAACTACTACAATAGTTACTGGCCGAATGCTGTTGCAGGATTGAAGCGCACATATTTCAGTAGTCCATGGAATATGATTGCTCTATTTGCTGGAATCACTTTGTTTGTTCTTACCGTGGTTCAGACTATCTTTACAGTCATGGGGGAAAATCCCATAATTGTAGTTAAACATTAGATTTTTTATTGGTCTTTTCTGCCTTTGTTGTTCACGCTTTACTGCTATGTTTTTCTTTCTTTTCCACATTGTTTTCAAGTATAAGTATTAAGTTTGTCAGTTTTCATTATCTTGTTCCAGTGTCCTATTTTCGTATTTTGTTTAAAGGGTTAATTGCTTATTTATTTTTCTAATTTGTGAGACAATCTTATTTCCTATATGTACTGAATATTAAACGCCTGAAATCTTTAAATGTCAGCCGAAGTACAAGTGAAATTTCAGATAGCTGATTACTTCGGCAGATAAGAATTCAAACATCGATTTTTTTATTATTTTTTTATTTATTTATTTTTTTGTTGTTGTTAAATGGTAATCTAATCTAGTCAGATTCTATACGTAAAATCTAGGCCAAAGGCATTTTGGTATTCAGAAATTATTCAATTTTTTCATAATAGAACTTGAGAATAGATATGGAAGGATATGAAACCTGGAATAGGTTGAATTGTGGCCTTAGAATACTTGCAAGAAAAGAAGTCCATGGGAAAGATATGTACATGTACACGCCTATCCTCCGTTCATTTGTTGAAATTAAAAGCTTTGATATTTCCGAGTTTAATAAGGGTACCAAGTTGATATGACCAGTCCAGATGTTTGTACAGCTTTGTGTCTCATTCTTTAATGCTAACTGGAATCAACATTGCATAGCAACCCAAACTAGAGTCTAAGGTGTTGATCTGTGTTGATTAAGCTATGCCACTTCTCGGCCATGTAGCCACTACATTTATAATCAAAGCTAAGTAGCTAGCTACCAATCATTAAAGTGAAATGCATTGACTATAGATGCATTCTTGACACATATATAGGGCATACAAAAAATGAATAGATTCCATGCTCAAGAAGTCGGATAGTGACATTCTTGCCATAAACTGTGAAACAAAGATCTGTTTTATTCAATTAAACATTCCTCAAAGGACCTCTTTGACATTTGATGACCAGCAATCATAGTTGCGTGTCGTTGAAACCATGAGTTAGTAGATATTATCATAATTACAGAAGTTACTCTAACTTTATTCACTAATACTATCACCCTCACCTCACGTCATCCACGATTAGCTATTGTTTGATGTACATTACTAGCTTGATATGTTCATACTCTCCCATGAACACACTTAAGCACATATCAACCTTACGCACATATCAACCATTTTGTTTATCAAGACACCACGCTGCATTTAAGCAACCTTTAACCTTGGTGTAATTCTTTTCCAGGAATACAATACTACATGTATGTCTGTGAACACCCCATTCTGGTGTAGTTCAAGATTAACTAACAACTTAACGTTACCAAAAATGTAGAGGACTTATTGTCAACACTTTGTTGTGAAGTTAAACTGAAATATGTTTTGACCCCAAAGAGGAAGATACCTTATGCATATATATTAGAAAACGACGGTATAATTATAGAGAGATTTTGAACTGTAATGCTTGTCAAATACCAAGGTTGTAAAAAACGATCGATGTTAGCTAGTCAGTGGACATAGGTTAAAGGATTAACCGACTATGAGGGGATTAATCGGGGACCCTAATTTACTGATTTTTTGAATTTTAAAAAACTAAATTTGACTAATATCGTAATAAAGTTTGCAAGTAACACTAATATCATAACAATAATGTTAATATGATTAATACAATACCAATCATTCCCAAAGTAGTTTGTATTGAGATGGAAATTCTTCAAAGTGTTAATAATTTATCGTTTGCTACTGCTTCGCTCATCGTGTAGGCATCGGAGTGATCCATAGTCTACATTAAGACCATAGTATAAACCTGCTATAACAAAATAGATCTCAAGCTTGGCCTTATCGAGCCCAGAACTTCTTCTTGTCAAGCATCTCAAAACAATCCCAAACAGAAAACTCCAAGCACATGGGAGACTGGACTTCATAAAGTGATTAATTGTGGTGAGAGTAGGTTGATGTCCCATTTCGTTAAACATATGGATGACTTGATCATTCGTGACTTTATAAAAAGTACCCGAAGTTTGTAATCGCAGAATTTGTACAACTGTTTCCTTGTGAGTTTCTTCGATTTGGAATTCGAAAGCTTCGTAACCACCTTGGTTGTTTTGTTGAACACAACTGTTGAAGCAGCAAGAGATAACCACTTCATTGGAATCACAAACAAAGCAGACAAAGCAAATGATAGAACAGAGTTGTTCAAGGTTTCAACAAGCATCTATAACTCCTCCGGGTACGCATCAAAAGATGGAACAAGATGAAGATTAGTGTGCTGAATCTTCATCAAAGGTTGCGAAATCTCTTCTTCAATTGTTGTTGCTTGATCGACGTTGTGTTGAGAAGCATCCATTGAAGTAAATCGGAGAAAATTTGGAGAATTTGAGAAGGGATGAACAGTTAGGGGTCTTGAATTTAATCAGAGAGCATAAACTTGAAAAGGAATGAAACATTTTCCTTTTATAACATGCATGAACTTTGAATTCAAACCATTGCCCAATGAAAAAATTCCACGTGGATTGTTGGTTAATTAACCGACACTGTAAAAATCGCCATGTGTAAAAGTGATCATCACTTTTCTCCTAGATTCCCATGATAATCCTGAACCGTCACGCCCATTAGATATTTTGCTTCTCCTAACCAGATAAGAACCGTCACAAATTTTGTTCCCAACGAAAAACTCCATAAGTTTTGTTACCAAGTAAGAATTCCAAAAGTTTCGTTACCAATCAAAAACAATCATTCGAGATAGAGGTTGGGCTCATTCAATTATGGGATTAATAGGCAAAATCATATGCCAGACTTTACAAAATCTAAGATTGAGTTTGTATTACTCATATCCTCGAGGATTTCAGTGCTCGTGTGTGCCAAATAAAAAGATAGAAACAAATTAAGAAAAGTTTGGTTATCGTGATATCAAAGATCCTTTGATATGGAAGCAAATTGACCCCGGGCAAAGATCTCTTCATTCGACATCAAGAGAGATGAATAATTGCTTGTGTAGTTTCCTGTGAAATACAATCAAATACTCGTTGATGAGTATCGAAGGGCCTCTTTTCCTTTGGTTTTGATGGTGGCTTCAATTCCACATAAGATCACAACTTAACATAAGTGTGATTCAGTGTGTAAAATTACTTGGAAAAATATGAATAACTAAAGTTCAGAAAAGATGTTCAAACGGAAATCTCATCTCAAAAAAATGAAAAACTGGATCTTTTGGTCAAAAATGTATTGGTATAAGATCATTTTATTAAAATCAAGCAATATGAATGAGAATGAGATTTTGAACATCGAAATGGTACATTGAAACAAATGTTTCGTGAAAAACTTGAACACAATTGTTCACCATCAATTCATTAGGATTTCTTTCATTGGGTTTCACCTTTATCACGGAAAACTGATTTAGGATCATAAATACAGAGTTTTGACATACCTATATCCTAGTTGGTTTCAACCAGAGATACCTTGGGCATGTGTCATAGTGTGTGATCATGAAAGAAATTTTGGGTGAAAAAGATTTGATTTAAGAACTCATTGTACCTCTTCAAAAAATTTGGACATAACAGAAATCTCTTTACTCATCGTGAGAAGAGAAAGGTAGCTCGTCGACTAATATTAATACAGCCTGATTGGAAAGAAACTTTCATTTCGAGAGTTTCATTAAGGCTTTGAACACAAAGAGTCTTTGAGGCTTCAAGACAACATGGTGCATGCTTCTAGGGACGCCTAACTAGAACATAGTTTCAAATAATACTTGTTCCCTTTTTGAATGTACTCATGTGGCAAGCGAAAAAACAATTAAATCCTAGTCATGTTTCAATTTTTATCATCAGTAAGATTGTATTCCTAAATTCTACCCCCTACCTCACACTTAATTGATACAATGTCCACATTGCGTACTTAAACAATTAAAGAACATAAAAGTAAAGAGGATAAATTTGAATATACTCCCCTGGGATAGTAGTGGCAAGATTGAATTCTAAACTTGTGTGTTTGACATCTCGTATAATGGCTGGAAACAGTACTTCTGAGCCTTCTTCTTGTGAATAAAAACGTATCGGATATAAGTAAACCAAAGAACTATCTTCTAGTAGTGTGCTGAATGTGGGCCACAACATGGGAAAGCAACGCCACGCCATGTTGTCGAGTAAGAAGCTGTCATTATCGTGAATAATAACAACACCATAGTGTGGTCTAGTGATGCCACATCATAATGACAGGTTTGCAAGAATCTTGATTGCGATAAACTCAAATGTCACAGCATGGTAGTGATTGCCACGTTGTGGTGACTTAACAGAAGGTCATTTATATCCAAAATATAATGCTTCTTCACGTCTTAATGGCTTAGGACCATTCTCGACCTTTTCTTTCTGTAAAAATTATTCAAACTCCTTTCGTCATCAGGTAATTACTCCACACTTATTCAAAAATATGGTCTTCAATTGAAATCTTCAAAAATTTATCGGCTTCTTCCAATTAAGCTCCTTGACTGCTTCGTTTTCTTTCAACACTACAAAATAAGGTCAAAAGACTAGAGAAACACATCATCATTTGGTTAAACTAAAATAAAGCTAAAAATGAAAACAATCACTAGAAAGAAATCAAAAAGAAAATGAAAACTCTTAAAACATCGGGTTGGCTCCCAATAAGCGATTCTTTTTTAGAATTCGTGAGTCAGACTCTTTCCCACTCTACATGGTTGTGGTTGGGAGTGGGTTCTCCCTCTTCTCCTTTTGCTCTTTCAATTTTCTTTTGTAAGCTTGTAACCTTCGTATGTACGCCTTCTTCGAGTTTTCATTCTTCTTTATGTTGGTGCTTTTGTCATGTTTTCGTTTCACCGCCTTGCTTTGTCCTTTCATCTTTGTATACTTCATTTCATATTCTTTATGCTCCTCTTTATCTACCTCCATTTTTGGAGTTATTGGCTCTTCTATTTCCTTATCATTTATCTCACTAATATCGACCAAATTGTCTTCTTCTTCGTCACTTGCCTCTTCCACTTGAACC